CAAGAAGCGCAGAGACACGCAGCAGCGGACCTCGCCGGCTGCAGACGGCTTCGAGGGCCCGAAGATGCTGCACTCGGAAGGACCGGAGTATGGCCCGGCCAGCCTAACCAGTCTCTTCCGGGAACATCGACTCATCAATTCATTATCGGCCAAAGGATTTGAGGAAACCACAGAGAGCGGGGGGAGGGGGGGCGCCCTGGATGAACTGTGGACTGTTCTCAGGGGCCCCCCTTTTCGGAAAATCGGCAGGATGCGCAGGAAGGCGACGCGGATTTGGAGAGGACCTACGTGCAGAGCCGAGAAGAGCCACTGTTCGGTGTGCCGCAAGTGCGCGAGGACGACATCCAGGACTCAGCCCGACGACACCGAAGACGCCGAAGACGTCCACTCATTGTAAGCCGCCCTCGGGTAGCTGTAGAGTTCCGTCCGGTGATGGCTGGTAGCGTGAGTTTGTTTTATATGTAGTGTCTCTCACACCATTAACCGTAGTTTTTGATACCGTGAGCGCTCAATTACGCTCAATTACCGCATGTCCAGCCGGCTCCGGATATCGCGTAACAGTCTCTCCGTCTTGCGAGAATTAAGCGCCGACAGTCTCTTCTCGTTGCCGTTTCGTTTACCGTTTAGTTACCGTACCGTTCTACCGTTACCGTCTTTTTGGAAGATACCGATTGCTACCGTCTTTCTTGCGATACCGCTCCGTTACCGTTTTGTCGCGTTATCGCCGTACTGGAAGTACCGTGGGTGAATGTCCGCGGGCGGATTTTGATCCGGGAACGTTCTCCGCGAGATTGCGGTTACCGTAAAGTTAGCGTCTCGGCGAGAAACGGGAAAGCCCGCGAAAAATAGCCGTTCCGCGACATCTCATTTCTGGCCGTTAGGATACCATCGTTTAAAGTCTATTTATTTGGCCTTCACTTGCCGCGTCGGATGGTCGTAAGGTAAGTTATTTGTTTTGCTGGTTATTGTCGGATCGGCTGCGAATTATCGTGTTCTCGTTGCCGCGATTTCATGTAGTTAGCGCACTTTATTCTTGCTACCGAATTTATTATGCGAATGGCCTTACGACCGCATTGAACTGTTTCCGCCGTATCGGCTCAGGCCGAACGCTACACATCTTTACCTTTGTAACCAAATCACTGAAATACATTATTGTTAAATTTTAATTATTAAGTTGTTCTTGCGTTCGCCTCTCACTCCAGATATCTAACGTTAAATAAAAGAACTGCGCCCCTCTGCCATATACTGAGCGGGGAGCAGCCGAGCAATTTTAGAGAAATATCGAAGTTACCGATACCGCGGTGCGATTACTCGCATCTGGCGCCCATTTCCGGTTACCGATATCGCGTAAGTTACCTTGCTCCCGAATTTTGTGGAGTACCGCGAGTTACCGAATCGTGCAGTTATTGCCGATTTCGCGAGTTACCTTGCTCCCGACGAGCGTGGAGTACCGCGAGTTACCGAATCGAGCATCTGTTTCCGATATCGTGAGTTACCGAATCGAGCATTTATTGCCGATCTGCGAGTTACTGATTTCCATTGAGTGTGCTCTCTCGGATCTGGCGTGATTCCGAGGCTAGTTCACGTCGCAGGTTATATCACTTTAAAGATTATGTAAAGTGTACAAAAAACAATCCAATTTTATTAATATTAGATAATCACAACAGTCATATTTCTTTAAATTCTTATAATTGTTGCAAAGAAAATGGCATTGTAATGCTTTCACTTGTACCACATACTTCTCATAGATTACAACCCTTAGATGTATGTTTTTTTGGACCATTTAAAACTGCTTATCGTAAAGAATGCGATGAATTTCTAAAGAAAGAAGCTCTTAAAAAAATTTCACACGATCTAGCTGAGATAGTTAATAAAGCTTATTGTAAAGTCGCTTCGATTGAAAAAGGAGTTTCAGGATTTAAAACTACAGGAATCTATCCATTAAACCGAAGAGTTTGTTCAAAACAAGACTTTGTGGCTGCTGATGCTCTATTACAAACTAAAGCAGCACAAAAACATCAACATGAGATTAATCCAACAGTAGGTTCTTGTATCAATAATATGGAAATAGATGATTCTAGTTATATTTCGCCAGTACGATCAAACACGCCAGTAGCTGAGAATGATATAATTTTAAATAATACAAATAAAGCACCGTCAGAGCCTACAAACGAAGCTGTAGTTATGCCTTTGACAAATACTGCTAATATTAAATTACCTATTTTTTCATTACAAACTCAAAAGATATTACCAAAATCACATGCTACACGTAGAAGTAGAAGGCAGAAGTCTGTTATACTTACAAGTTCTCCATTAAAAGAACAATTAGAGGAGAAAGAAAGGAAACGGAAAGCTAATCTTGAAAAACTAAAAAGCAAAGAAAATATGTTTAAATATAAAAAAATAAAACAAGAAAAAAAAGATGCTACAACTCAAGATAAAAGCATTTCGACCAAAATTAAAATAAGAAAGAAAAAAGCTTCCAAAATTGATGATGAAGAAGAAGTTTCTAAAACAAAGCGAAAGAAAAAAAACTTAGGAAACACATCACTTTATAAAAAAGAAGTTCTTATTTTTGTTTTTACTTTTGTTAATAGTAATTTATTTTTGTTAAAAGTAATTCTTATTTTTGTTAATTTTAAAAATTAATTCTTTTACTACTATTAATTAATACAAAAAAATATAAAATTTAAGTTTTAATTAAGAAATATTCTGTTCTAATAATG